TCTACTGCTGTTTTGAATAACAAGAGTTAATCACAGCTTTTGTTGAAGTAGGAGCCAGACAAGCCTATTTTTATGAACCTGCAAATCCTTCTGGGTCAAAGATTTATCTAAACTTTTTAACCCTAAACATTCCTTATCTTCTTCAGTGTGGTGATATAATTCATTCTTAATACAGTTGGGTTTATTTTTTTGACTGTTTATATTCCTTTATAGACTCCCAGCACATCCTGATTGGTTTTATTTATTTATTAGGGGATATGTGAACATTAATATGGCTCAGAGTCAATGCTACACAAGTTATACTCATAGCAGTGTCCCCTTCTTTTCATCTCTTTTACTCAATTCCTAGTTTTTCCTTGTTTTCACTCTTCCCATCCAGGCCCTGTAACTAACAAATCTCTTTAGTTTCGGGTTTAACCTTCATGCATTTCTTTTGTACAAATGAGTGTATTTGTGTGCACACACGCACATACACACATTGTTTCCTTACATCTCTTTCTTTCTTAAACAAAGGATAGCATACTATATATACTTGTTTGCATTTTGCTTTTTTCTACCTAACTGTATATCCTGAAAGTGACTTTAGTCACTATAAAATCAGTTTATAGAGATTACCTTATTCTTTTCTACAAATAGTACTTGATTGTATAGATATATCATAATTTAGTCAACCGTTCTTCTAGGTATTGGAATTTAGAATGTGTCTAATAGTTTTCACGAACAGTGCTACGATGATTAACCTGTTGGTATATATGGTTTTAGGCATACCTTTAAGAAAGTTTCTTAGCAGTGGGGTTATTGGATCAAAGGGGTTAGGTGCATTTGTAATTTTGTTAGATATTGCTAAATTCCTCTCTTGAGAAATTGTAGCAGTTTGCATTTCCACCAACAACATAGAAGTGTTACTGTTTCCCCACAGCTTTACCAACAGAATTTCTGGTTTTACTTTTTAATTTCTGCCAGCTGATGGATGAGAAATGGTATTTAGATGTTGTTTTAATTTACATTTCTCTAATTATGAGAGAGTTTGAATACTTTTCATATATAACGTATATGTTTCATATCACATATTATGTGTGTATTGTGTGTGTGTGTGTGTATTTGTCTTTTCATGACTTTGCCATTTTGTTTTCTACTGGGTTTTGGACCTTTGTTCTAAAATGATGCTTTAAAGTCTCCTATATGATAATGTTTATTTCTATGTCTCCTTGTACCTCCTGTAGAGTTTTACCTTCATAAACATAATTGTTACATATGAGTCTGGCTCCAGGCCAGAATCCTATGTGGGATCCTTAAGGTCCAAACATGAACAATAAGAAAGGATTTACGTGGCACATTTCATTGGTGAAAGCCACCGTCCCACACAGTACTCTGTACAGTGCTGTAGTCTCTAGAGAGGGTTGTCATTAAGTTCTCAGCTATATGCCAGCGCCTGCCACCTCCCCAGTTATGTGCACTGATCCACCAGAACTTCCCACGTTCTCAGTTTGGCTACTTATTATTCTATTTGGCCACCTGGACACCTGGCTGCTCTCCACAGCACATGTATTACTAAATACTATATCTTTGTGTCTATAAGTGGCTTTTTTAACGTTCATGAATGTCCTTGCTTTTCATATTTAATGCTTTTGGGATTGATTTGTACTTTGGTAGTAGAATTGCTGCTGTAGTTCTCTTTATAGTTCATTTTCTATATGAACTATAGTTCAAATATAGTTCATTTATAGTACATTTATTCTAAGATGTATTTGTCCACATCTTTATTTTTAGCTTTTTTAGATCGTTTTGTTTCAGGTTTGTTTTCTCTTGTAAAGAGTATATACTTGAATCTTGATTTAAGACTTAAATTGAATTTTTTTTCCTCTCATTAGGCAAGTTAAGTTAATTCAGATTTATTGGCAGGACTAATATGTTTGATCTCAACTCTGTCATAAAATATTATAATTATATCTCTTTTGCAATAATAACTATATTTTTCTTCTGGGAGAAGTGGCATACGCGCGCGCGCGTGTGTGTGTGTGTGTGTGTGTGTGGTAGTGGTTACATTTATACTTAAAATCTTTCTAATGCCCTGAGGCTCCTGCTCGCTTATTTAATCTTTCAGTTTCTTTTTAAAATATGATACCCTTTATGCTCTTTTATTACAACAGATTATTTTATTTTCCTGTTTCCTTCTCCTTTCTCCTTCCATTTGCTTTATTTCTATTTTGTCAGAATATTTACATTTGTTTATTAGTCTTCCACCCTCATGTCTATCATTGTTTTTGTCTTAGATGTACATTTATATAATGTCTATATTGCCACTACCCATCCTTTTGCTTAAATTTTCCATCATCACTGGGTTGGATGAGGTTTGTCATCTAGAAACCTAATGGGGACACAATTCCCTAAGCCTTGTATGTTTTATAAAAAATTGTTTAGCTATAGCTTTGATGCTTCAAGGAAAACTTGGCTGGAAATAAAATGTATGGTACAAAATACATTTTCTCATTAAATCTGCTATTAAGTTTATTGCCTTGCTTTGAATATTGGTATTTAAAAAAATCTGATGTTTGTCTATTTGTTTTACCTTTGTAAGTCATTTACTCTTTATGCCTGGTGGGATTGAGGCCTTTATCTTTTGAAATTGAATGCTTTTAGTAAGATGTGTCTCAGGGTAAACATTTCTGTGTTAATTTTCCCAGGTATCCAGTGAGCATTTTCAATGAATAGACTGAAGTATTTTTAAAATTTTTAGAATATTTTCTTATATTATTGTTTTAAATGCTAGTACTCTTCATTTTTCCTCAGGGACTCCAATATTCTAAAAATTTTTTCTTCCTTGTTTCATATTTCCAGTACTTTCACTCTTTCCATTTTTACTTATTTTTTTATATCATTCTCTTAATTGTTTTCCTGATTTTTTGTGATACCTCTTACTAAATTTACTTTTGCAACTATTTTCCTCCGGAAATTTTACAATTATTTGTTTATTTATTTTGAGACTGAATTTCGCTCTTGTTGCCCAGCCTGGAGTGCAATGGCATGATCTCGACTCACTGCAACCTCTGCCTCCCGAGTTCAAGCGATTCTCCTGCCTCAGTCTCCTGAGTAGCTGGGATTACAGGCACGCACCACCACTCCCGGCTAATTTTGTATTTTTAGTAGAGACGGGGTTTCTCCATGTTGGTCAGGCTGGTCTCGAACTCCCAATCTCAGGTAATCTGCTCTCCTCGGCCTCCCAAAATGCTGTTATTACAGGCATGAGCCACTACGCCCAGCCTACAATTCATTTTTTATATTGAGTTGATTTGTTTTTTTTTTCTCCAAATCATCTTCTGCAATAGCTCTGAATGAACTTGGCTTTTCTCCTGTTCATTTTTGTGATGCTGTAGTGTTTTGCAAGATTCCTAGTTTAATGGTTGCCTTCACTTGCCAGCAAAGTAAACTCCAGGTAATCGGACTAGGGTGTGTGTCTGCAGAGAGAGTACAGCACTATCTTTTTGTTTTTGTGGTGGGCATATGGGTTTATTGTTCTAATGTTCATGATTGCCTTTTGTCTTGAAGAATTTCATATTGTTCCCTTTTCTTCTCTTCTCCCTTTGTTACCCAATTGCCAAAAGGTGCTTATTTCTCCTTTTTCATCTTTAAGCTTCTCAGAAGCTGCATGTTTCCAAGATATCACATATACCTGGGCATTCCTTCTCTGTAGCCCATGTCTAACCATACTGTAATTTGATCATTTTTATTTTAATTTTTAGTATTTTAAGACTTAGGATGGACTTAGTCTTTTGTCTCTTTCTAAGTTTCTTCTTTTGTTTTCTTTGCAATTTTCCTAATTGCCTTTGCTTGCCGCATAGTCTCAGAGTGGGTTGGGATGGGAAACGTAGCATGCAAGATTGTGTGCTGGATTTAGTGATTTTTTTTTCTTTCTACTTAGAGTCATTTTGAGGTTTCAGCAATCTCCGCCTTCAATTTATGTTGAATATGTGGTTTGTGATAGAATTTAAATCTTACTTCTCTTATCGTATGGTGAGGAAATACGGTAATATAAATGGATCTGCTGCTACCTTTTTCTTCAGTCATGTAGCTGTGTCAAATCATTACATTATAAAAAAGTATCAAAAATATGTTCTAAGACAGAGATGAGATGTCTATTAAACAAGTTTAATGAATTTGTAGAATACGTCTTATATGCCACAAACAAAAATATAATAAATAATTATATGTAAAACCTTATTCATTTGGCCTGCTACCTATTATATTTAATCATCATCTTGGTTTTAATGTCCATAATGCATATGTCAAATATGTGCATAGAAAGGTAAGAATAGCCTTATATATTTATATATAGGTTCTGTTTTCCTGAAGAACCCCGACTAATACAGATTTAAATTTTATTAACTGAATGTTTATGTTCCCTCAATATGCATATGTTGACATTGTAATCCTCAATATGATGGCTTTAGGAGGTTAGAATTTTGGGAGGTAATTAGGTAATGATGGTAGAGACTTCTTGAATGTGATTAGTGCCCCTGTAAAAAGAGATTCTGGAGAGCTCTCTTGTCCCCTTTCTACCATATAAGAAAGCAACGTGAAGACAGGAGTCTGCAACTGGGAAGATGGCCCTCACCAGAACCCAACCATGCTGGCACTCTGATATCAGACTTCTGGTCTCCAGAACTGTGAGAAAAGATTTCTGCTGTTTATAAGCCACCCAATCTATGACTTTGTTAGAGCAGCCTGAATTGACTAAATATCGAGCATAGCATCTAACAAAATATTCCATATATATCTGTTTAAAGTGTGATATCTTCTAGAGTTATTCAGAACCAATATAAACCTTATATGATATGTCTGCCTTTAAAATTATTGTAAGACTGACAAAATGCACCCTAAATATTATGAAACGTTCAGCTTGTCTTTATATGATGAAAGTTTAAATGGATTTTTCATCATGATCACCACTATTTGGAAATGCTAGACTTTTCTTCATGCTGCTCAAAAGGTTAGGCACATTAAAATAACTTACGCAGTCTACTAGTCGGTTAAATTCCTTGATCTTCACCTTATGAATCTGAAACGGAGAAATCATTACTATGAAGGATTTTTGTGAACACCAGCATATATTACAATATCAAACACATAGAAACTGCTAAAAAATGGTAATAATCTATGTTATTATTAAGTACACAGTTTTTAAAAAATGCATTTATAACATATTTCCTCAAGTAATTATCAACTGAACTTCTGGTAAGAGCTATTATATAGAAGCTGGGTTATGCTTAAATTATTTAAATACAAACAACAAATTACAGTAAAAGGTAGAATTATAAATAAATACTACATATGGAAAAATTTTGTGCTAGAAAAATTAATTGGGCCTCTATTTTGGCACTGCATCAGCATATTGTATAAATTACTTAATCCTACTAATGCATTTAAAGTTAATGTAAGAATTTTTTCTAATAATTAATATATTTCCCTTTAAAATCATAGTATGAAACAGATTGATAAGTAACTACACTATGTTTGAGCATGTGCTCATTGGTTAAAAATATAATGAATAAAAACATCTTTTAAAATAGTCTGGAAGTGTTTCCTCAACTGAGGCATGATAATTTTCTTATTTTTCCTGTTTTAGACTCCAGCATAATAATAACCATGCTTATCTATATCTGGAACATAAGGTCTAAGAACTCAACAATTGTGGAAAATGTGAGCAAACTGAGTATCATACAGTTGATCTATTTTCTCATTTTATGCAGGAAAGCTGCATGTTATATCTGATGGTCTTAATGCAATCAACTTAATTTAGAAACTGTGCCAACTGAATTATAATATTACTAATGCAATAAAAAGCAAAGCTACTGTGGCATGAAGTTCATTTGAAACTATTTGTGTCAAATTTTTGACATACTATTTTAAACTTATTTCTTATTCTTTCAGATAAAATGATAAACATTCTATTCAAAAGAAATTATAGGATTGCTTTCCTTTCTAATATTTTAAAAAAGGAAATCATGAAGAACCTTACATTTCATACTGTGTTATCTTACAATGGCATATCTTAGCAAGTATAATTAGAAAATACAAAAGGAGAACTAAGAATTTGTTGTTCTAAGAAAATATGAAAAAGTAATACAAAGGAAAAAGAAGCAAAATAATTTCAAACTAGTGCTATGCCTAAAAAGTTCTGGGTTTACAAAATATTGTTGAGCAATGATGCTATTAGGACATAGAATATCAGAATACAAAAGAATTTATAGATTTATGGAATAAGTTACCATTGCCACATTAAATAATTTTTTGACAATGTTGAAAATGAAAGATTGTAGGGAATAATATACTAAAATAATCCAGAGGTTTTAGGTTACCTTATGATCTATAGAAATTTTATACTTAAGTGCAATGTGATTGTGTAGTCTAATTTTAGGGACCCACTCTTTTTAACAACAGAAGGATATGTTATAGATTGGGAATGTCCAAAATATAACAAAAATTAAACTGTCAGAATATGAGAGTTAGGAAGCTGGATTTCATAAGCTTCTTAATAGCTAGATACTGCAACTCTATACAGATTAATTTCTAATTTATATGTCTAATAAATATTATTTCAAGATATTGTGTAGCTAGGACTATATTCTTAAAAGTATTTGGAGATACCCCTTCCATTCCCAAAATCAACTTTGCAATTTTTTAAAATCTGATATTGTATTGATGCTATTGTTTCTTAGCTATAAAATTCTGCTCAGCACATGGAGATACTCATGACACCAAAAGAACATATATAAACAAAAAGATTAAGAAGCCTGTGACAAAATAATATACCCTATCTTGACAAGAGTTCTATAGTTGACTGTTGTGTTTGCTTTGGTATTTACATCAATTCTTTAAGGCTTCACATTCAATAACTTAAATGTGAATATCCATTACTCTGAAATAAATAATGTATTTTGGATATATTTTTAAGGCCGTTATGTGAATATGAAATGCAAAAGGGCATAGCACACTGGCTTTATGTGAAAATACAGGTAGTGAGAAAATGAAGCAAAAAGCAGATTTTGCGTTTTTGTTTAATTTTCTTAGAGTCAAGATCAAACAACTCAGCTCTATCACTTCTTTTGTGTCTGACACTGAAAAATTCAAAATATAAAAAAGCATAGTAAGGCTTATAGACAAGTAGTATATGCCCAGATTTTCTTGAAGGAATAAAACATGTGTTCTTATGGTGGTTCCATTTCTAAAGTCCTCATTATATGAAGTATATGTGTTTTGTGGCACTATTGTTGGGAATTGATGTAGATAGGGAGTCTCAGAAGATGGAGACTATAAGACCTATCCGGGAGGACAGGAGGGTGTAGCGATTGGGTGCGCATGATTTGTGGTTACATAATTCTGAGTTTGTTCGGACCTCTGCTCTGTAAGAAATTGGGTGACACTGGCAAGGTATTTATATCTCTGACTGATGTGTGGTAGACAGAATAATGGCTTCCCAAAGATGTCTACTTCTAGGTCAGGTGCGGCGGCTCACACCTGTAATCCTGGTACTTTGGGAGGAGAGGTGCATGGATCACTTGAGGTCAGGAGTTTGAGACCAAAGATGTCTACTTCTTAATTTCCAGAACTTGTGAATATGTTATCTTTAATGGTAATAGGGACATTGAAGATGTGAATAAATTAAAGATATTATCCTGGATCTAGGTAAGCCTAATGTAATCACAAGGTCCTTTTAGCAGAGAGGTAAAAAAGTCAAAGGCAAAAGGAGTTGGGACAGAAGCAGAGGTAGGAGTGATAGGCTTTGGAGATGGAGGAAGAGCCATGAGCCAATGACTGAGATGACTTCTAGAAGCTGGGAAAGGTAAAGAAAAAGATTCTTCCATGAAGCGTCCTAAAGGAGCACAGTCTTACTAACACCTTGTTTTTAGACTTTTGATCTCCAGAACTGTAAGAGTGTAATTCTGCAGTATTATAAGGGATTATGATTGTGGCAATTTGTTACAGAAGCAGAAGGAACAAATACACTGTACTTTCTCATCTGTTAAATTATCGTCCACTAATACGACATTTAATACATTGCAAGTGCTCAATAAATGTCTATGATGATGGAGGCTATTGTTTTCAAAGGATGCTACACCACTATGGGATCCCATGGAGAGCAGTCCACTGGATTTAGTTAGAAGCATAGATAGATAAAACAAAAAACAGAACTTTTTCTTCAGTTGGAAGTTCTTCAGGGGGCTATAGAACTAGGAAATGTAAAAAAGAAGAAAAATCCCTACAGAGTATTTAACTGCTAAGCCATAATCATCAGTTTTGCAGAACCCATTAACAAAGTAGAATTTATATTGCATATTTGGAGGAGGGAATGAATGAATTTTTTTCTAAAAAGTACCAGGAGGAATTACTGATGACAACTCGAGTGTAATTTCATAGATTTTGCAGTTAATTTTTACACAGGTTCTAAAATTATGAAATTTTGATTAAAATAGATCTGACACATTGCTTTAAAATAATAGTACATGATAAAATTAGAGACAAATTATACATACAAAATCCATTTTATCTTGAAATGGAAACTTTAAACAGCATAAAATGACAGCTTATTGCAGTGTAAGTATGGAAATAGATTAAGTTAAAATAAATTTCTCTTCTTACCATATTAGATTTTCCATGTTTCCATAACATCAAATAACTCTAGGCCTAATGTTAATGTGAGTTATCAAAATCAGTAGGCGTTTTCTGCTGACTAAGTTTTGTAACTGAACTTTCTTTTGTATCTACTGAGATCAGGTCCTACACCTGCAATATCTTACTGATTATCTTTTATTATTTATCTTGCCATTCAGTAAGCCTTATAATGCCAAATAGTAAATTAATCATCTTCACATACCAATTTTCCTGTCATCGGTTCCATTATTTGCTTCGTTATCGAAACTGAAAACAAAAGATTCTTATTCTTCTTAGTTTCATCTTCCTCTGTCTTGCTGTTTCTTGCTTGTTTTCAAGTACTACAGATTCCTTTTTGTAATAACTCCATATCTCTTCCTCTCCAGGCCACCTGCTGATATACAAGCTTCGATTCTTACCATCGCAAAATTAGAATGCTAAAAAAGCCATATAGCATGTTGTAAGTTTCCATAGCTGCCAAATTCTAAAGTTTCTTTCCTCTAATCCATCACCAACACTTATGCCTTAATTATTGCTTCTATCATGTTACTCCACTACTGAAAAAATCTTCTGAAATACTCTAAAGCTCAGAAAGAAGGTCTAATTTATCACTGACCTCACAGTCCGATATAGTACCATCTCACTGGACAGAAAGGCAACCTCACTTTAGGGACCAACCCTGAACACATTTGACTCTACTGCCTTCTCATCTGAACCTCATTTATCTACTTTTCCTGTCATCCTCAGTTGATGTGTCGTAAAGATAATATCTGTTTAATCCTGTTTGTATATGTGCTGAAAATAAAGAGCTTACCTGATAATTTCATAATGTAAGAGATCTTTTGGAAAGTATATTTTATATAGTTTTATTTGGAAATAATTTCAAAGATACAGAAAAATTAGCAAAATTCTCACAAGGAACTCCTTCATCTCTTTAATAGATTAACCAATTATTGACATTTTACCAAATTTACTCTGTCATTTCTTCTTTATGTTTATTTATTATTATTATCAATACATTTGGGAGTATGTTGCTGCAGTATGCCTTTTTATTCCTAAATAATTCTGTGCATTTTTTCCCTCAGAACAAGAACATTCATTAACATAATCATAGTTCAATTATTTAAATTATGTCAATTATTCTGATAATAATTTATAGCAATTTTTTTCTGGTGCCAGGTCTAATCCAAGATCATGCACTGCACTTACTTTTTGTGTATCTTTTGTCTTCTTAAATTGCAGTGAATCCTCAGTGTCTTTTTGTTTTATGATGTTAACATTTGTTTAAGCTACAGTTATATTATAAATGTCGCTGTGACATACACAATAATTGTCTCACAAAGATGTCCCCCTACTAATCCTTGTGACTATGTTATATTACAAGGCGTAAGTGACTTTGTAGATGTGATTAAATTTAGGATCCTGAAATGGGAAGATTATTTTGCATTATCCAGGTGGGCCCAATGTATTCAAAGGTAATTGTGAGAGGAGGCAATCTATTCTCTCGTTAGAGGCACAGAGAGCCCTGTAAAAGTGGTTACTACTGATACAGGCTCTCCACAGGATCAGATATGCCCATTAGAGGGGAGAGTTTTGCCCCCAAACTAACTCCCAACTATCAAAATTAATCCCCACAGCAGTGATTGTGCATTCCATCAGCACACGGTTCCCTGAGGATATTTTCTCCATACGTCAGTGCTTCACAGAAAAACACAATTCCTGATTATCAATATGAGAATGCAGAAAAAATAATCCTTCCTCTTCCCTCTTCATGTAAGACTAATTTTTTAAACTACACCCAAAAAACTCTAAAAGGACTATCTTAATTATAATGAGGGTCCAAAGACACACTTCCTTCTGAAAGAATAAGCAAAGAGAAAATTATTTGGCATATATATATATACATATATATATATACATATGTATATTCTAAAGAAAGCAGTTTATATGAAGATGAACAACCAAATATTAACCTCTTAAAGAAACCAGAAACTAAAAAATAGATTTCACAACTATGCAATATATCCAGTATCCCCTAAATCTTTCAGAAAAATAAACAAATAAACAAAATAGAAAAGGAACATGTTGATAAACAGGAGAAAGTTTCTAAAAATATCCTTTTTTGTAATCTCAATGAGGTCGAAAGTGTCAATCCATTAAAAATTCTGATAGGACATAATAATTAATAAAGATTTAAAAAGTTAAATTTTTAAAAATTAATTAATGTGGCTCATGCCTGTAATCCCAGCACTTTGGGAGGCTGAGATGAGTGGTTCACCTGACGTCAGGAGTTCCAGACCAGACTCGCTACGCATGCCCCTAATCCCAGCTACTCTGGAGGCTGAGGCAGGAGAATCAATTGGACTTGGGAGGGGGAGGTTGAGTGAGCCGAGATCACGCCACTGCGCTCTAGCATGGGCGACAGAGAGAGACTCCATCTCAAAAATAAATAAATATTTAAAAAATAACTTAATGGGAGCTATTAAGTAGCAGAAACGAGTAAAATTGATTCAGTGTAGTAAAAGTTTATCTCAAGAAATTCCCTAAATACTGAAACAGGTCAATAAGATTTCTGATGACAGAAAAGGAAATGTGAAGGTCACTCATCATTGACCTATTATATGTATAATATGAATGCAGAAAGTAAATGGATCACATGAAATAATGCCAACAATCAAATAGAAAGTAGAAACCTCTTGGATCAACAGGGCCCACTAGGTCCGAAGGAAAGGCTTTTCTAATTTGAATCAAAGCTGTCACCCTACTTTAAATAAGACTGTGATATTGTGATTTATAATTAGAAACATGTATTCGGTCTTTGTCCCATTTGTGACCCAGAGCTCCTGAAACTCTTGGAATTTCGTAAGTGATAAAAGTGATAAAGATAAAAGGAGAATTGTTATGTTCTTCATAACAAGACCCTTTGAACTGACCTAAGTTTGTGTTAATGAGGCCATTTATGGAAAGTCCCCAAAGATGGTTAGCTGGTTGAGAGGAGAAGCAACTATGTGATTAGGTGGTTGGAACCTTCCCCCCCATTCCACACTCACCTCAGGGAGAGAAGAATGGCTGGAGATTGGTTGAACCACCAATGGCCAATGGTGTAATTGATCATGCCTACTTAATGAAGCCTCCATATAAACCCCAAAGGATGAGCTTGGAGAGTTTCCAGGTTGGTGAAAACACGCAGGTCTTGGAAGGGTGGTGCATCTGACAAAGCATGAAAGTTCTCTTACAGATACCTATTCATCTCTCCTGGCTGGCTGTTCCTCAGTTGTACCTTCTTATAGTAAACTGGTAATCTAGTGAATAAACTGTTTTCCCGACCCCTGGGAGCCATACTTGCAAGTTATTGTGCCTGAGGAGGGGTTTATGAGAATCTCCAATTTATAACCAATCAGAAGCACAAGTGACAATTTAGACTTGCGACTGACATTGGAAATAGAAGGCTGTCTTCTGAGACTGAGTTCTTAACGTGCCTGTGGGGTCTGTGCTAACTCTGGTTAGTTTTAGAATTTGATCAAATCGAAGGACACCCAGTTAGTGTTACTAGAGTATTAAGTTGAAGTTTTTAGAAAAAGCTCACACATTTGGTGTCAGAAGTGAAGTAGTGAGAGTAACAGTTGAGCAGAGAAGAAATAAGAATTTTCCTTTCAGATAAAAAGCAAATAAGAAGGCCAGGATAATGTACTGAAATGCTGATTTGTATTCTGTTTTCCATGTATTTTTTCCTCTCCTTTTTCACATTAATTTGTTTACCTTTGCCTCAGGCTGGTCTGTGTAGTCATGCCTGAAGCAGAAATTATCTGGGAAAACCAAAACAAAACAAGCAAAGTATATCAAACACATGAAAATGTATCTTGTCAGTTTGTTAAGAACATGTTTGATTGAGAAAATTATGTTCAAGGACTCTATAGAAGAAGGGAAGACAGGCAACTGCTTATGAAGGGTGGATCGGGAAGTGGAATAAATAAAGAGGTAGTGGGAACTGTGTCATGATATATGTAGCTACTAAAATTAATGGAAGTGGTAAATTAGGAATCTGGATTAACATGAGCCACAGGGGTAAAATTAAAGCGAGAAGTCCATGCATTAAATGTCTAACTTATGAACAAATAAAAAGTATTGGCATGCAGATAATTTGACACACAACTGAAATTTTAAAACCCAAACCAAGTTAAAATCACTTCTTTTAAGCCAAGAGTATACCATAAATCATTATAAATTGTAAATTTACTTAAGCAAATTCAATGCCTTTTTTTTTTTTTTTTTTTTTTTTTTTTTGAGGCAGAGTCGCACTCTGTCACCCAGGCTGGAGTGCACTGGCACAATCTCAGCTCACAACAACCCCTACCTCCTGGGTTCAAGCGATTCTCCTGCCTCAGCCACCTGAGTAGCCGCTCAGTACAGGCGGGTGCCTCCAGGCCCGGCTAATTTTTGTATTTTTAGTAGAGACAGGGTTTTGCCATGTTGGTCAGGTTGGTCTTGAACTCCTGACCTCAGGTGATTGGCCCACCTCGGCCTCCCAAAGTGCTGGAATTACAGTTGTGAGCCACTGCACCCGGCCTCAATACCTTCTTCTTCTTTTTTCTTTTTTTGAGACGGAGTCTCGCTCTGTCGCTCAGGCTAGAGTGCAGTGGCGCCATCTCAGCTCACTGCAAGCTCCGCCTCCCGGGTTCCCGCCATTCTCCTGCCTCAGCCTCCTGAGTAGCTGGGACTACAGGCGCCCGCCACCTTGCCCGGCTAGTTTTTTTGTATTTTTCGTAGAGACGGGGTTTCACCGTGCTAGCCAGGATGGTCTCGATCTCCTGACCTTGTGATCCACCTACCTCGGCCTCCCAAAGTGCTGGGACTTCAGGCGTGAGCCGCCGGAACCGGCCAATGCCTCCATCTTAATTTCCAGTCTTGTTGGCTAATATCAGGCAAGTTTTTCTGCTGAAATTGTTCGCTAAAGTCACACAGGCATTCCCTTAATGCATTTCATTTTATTTTCTTCCTACAGAAAGAACAAAGTTTCACATTATAGCTGTGTCCTATTCTTTAAGGTATTTCTTGTTAAGTGATAAGTGAAACCTTCTTCAATACCTTGTAGTTAGAATTATTATACCCTTTTCCTAAGACTACCACTTGTTTAACTTGTCCGACTAGTTCAGAGTCAGTAACAGCCTTCTATCTCACCAAGAGCTCTTCCACTGGCATTTTATAAAAGGCTGTCTACTTCAAATCTAGATTTGTAACCTTGTCTCAGGGGATTTTCCCAGCCCTCACCTTTAGAAGTTATTTTTAGCTGCTAGTCACAGAGCTTGCCTTTGCCCCTTTGGATTGACTTTTTTTTTTTTTTTTTTTTTTTTGTATGCCTCTTTATTTAGCAGCCGACTTTGGCGTCTACAGTGTAGCATACAGACCAGTTTCTGGCGGTACAGGATTCTCCCTGTCACTCACTACAGCTTCATGAGAGACTATATACATTGTACACTTTGTGGAAAGAAAATTCAAAGTATGGGTCCAGGCAATTATCTGAAAATGCATAGACATAAATGTTTCTGGACAGAGAGCTATATTTTGACGTAAATAGCTTCTTGAGAAAGAGTTGATGAGAAGTGTGTCTTTCGATGTTTAATCACTTCTTGATGAATTCTACTGTTTCTGCCTTCAGATAATCTTATCTATTTCTTTTTCATAGATACAAACATGAAGTATTCGTCAACATCTATATTACAATGATCCTTTAGACGTTTAAAGTACATATCAGTTACAGTTCATATGGTCCATCATCAGTGGCAAAGCGATTCAAAAAAAAAAAAAAAAAAAAAAAAAAAAAAAAAAAAAAAAATAAAGTACATTTTTATTCATGGTCAAATAATGCCATCACAGGTTGATCTTAATAATTAAACATATATTGAGGTATTAGTATTAATGAAATACCATACTGTTTTTTCAAAAAAATATTATGTTCAATTTTAACCACAATCCTAGAAGTAATATACTCTTATCTTTATATTACATTTGATACTTAAAATGATTGGGGCATTTTTCCAAGATGGTATTTACATCCTTTAAGAGGCTCTTACCAGATTAAGAATTTAAAACTTCATCTTATGGCTCTAAAGACAGTATTCTTAACTACTTACTGTGTTTACCATACCCACTTGATAGAAGAAAAAAAAATGTAATCTTGAATTTATATTAAAGATTGCTTTGTTTAATAGGCAAATCTCTTATTTTTATATAACTGATAATCAGCTTTAACGTTCCTAAGATTTTTTTCATTTTCAATAGAGAAGAATTTTATGATACTGAATAAGTATCACTTAAAAATTTTTAAGAATATATTATTTTGTTCATGTATTATATTTTTCCAGAGAAAAAAAGACTATAACATTAAATGTACACTTCGATATTTAGCTGCAACCCTGTTTCAGAAATTTTAGAATGTAGAAGACAATGTTTACAGCAATGTAATACTGCACATATACAATCAAAATAAAAGAGTAATGATCAAGCTTGTAACACATTTCTAAAATCCAGACACTGACAGACTGTCTCCTTCACCAAACTTTAGTCTTGTGAGCCCTCTTCTTAATGATGTCTCAAACTTGAATTCATTCTTGATAGGTCTGCATAGCTTAGTTGTAGTAAGAATCTTGTTTCAAATATAGAGGAGGAGGAAATTCTCCCTAGCTAATGCCACGAGACCGGTATCATCATTATATCAAAACTAGAAAAGGACATGATAAAAAAAAGAAACCTACAGATCAATATCACTGATAAACACAGATGCAACTATCCTCAACAAAATATGAGCAATCCAAATCCAACAGCACATCAAAAAGATAATACACCATGATTAAGTGGGTTTTATACTAGACATGTAAGGATAGTTCCACATATGCAAACCAATAAATGTGATACATTACATAAACAGAATGAAAGACAAAACCATATAGTCACCTCAATAGATGCAGAAAAACTATTTGATAGAATTCATCATCCCTTCATCATAAAAACTCTCAACAGACTAGGCATAGAAGGTGCATATCTTAGAATAACTAAGGCCATATACAACAAGCCCATAGCCAACATCATGCTGAATAGGGAAAAGTCAAGAGCATTCTTCGAAGAAGTGCAACAAGACAAGGATGCCCACTTTCACCATTACTATTCACGCTAGGAAGTCCTAGCTAGAGCAAGTAGGTAAGAAAAATACAAAAATAAGGGGGATCTAAATTGGAAAAGTGTAAGTCAAATTATTCCTGTTTGCTAATGACATGATTTTATATTTAGAAAAACATAAAGACTCTACCAAATTCTCTTAAATTTAATAAATGAATTTAGTAAAATTGCAGGAAGCAAAATCAAAATCAGTAGTGTTTCTACACACCAATAATGTTTACAAGAAAAAAAGAAAAACAACCTTAAAAAGGGGGCAAAGGATATGAAGAAACACTTCTCAAAAGAAGACATTTATGGAGCCAACAAACATATGAAAAAAATCTCATCACTGGTCATTAGAGGAACACAAATCAAAGACACAGTGAGATACCATCTCAAGCCAGTTAGAATGGCAGTCATTAAAACGTCAGGAAACGAAAGATGCTGGAGAGGCTGTGGAGACACAGGAATGCATTTACACTGTTGGTGGGAGTGTAAATTTGTTAAACCATTGTGGAAGACAGTGTGGCAATTCCTCAAGGAGCTAGAACTAGAAATACCATTTGACCCACCAATCCCAGTACTGGGTAAATACCCAAAGAATTAGAAATCATTCTTCTATAAAGACACATGCACATGTATGTTTATTGTAGCACTGTTCACAATTGCAAAGACTTGGAATCAACCCAAATGTCCATCAATAATAGACTGAATAAAGAAAATGTGGCACATATACACCATGGAATAGTATGCAGCCATAAAAAAGGATGAGTTCATGTCCTTGGCAGTGACATGGATGAAGCTGGAAACCATTATTCTCAGCAAAGTAACACAGGAACAGAAAACCAAACACCACATATTCTCACTCATAAGTGGGAGTTGAACAATAAGAACACATGGACACAGGGAGGAAACATCACATACTGGCCTGTCAGGGAATGGGGGGCTAGGGGTGGGATAGCATTAGGAGGAATACCTAATGTAGATGACGGGTTGATGGGTGCAGCAAACCACCAGGGCACGTGCATACCTATGTAACAAACCTGCACGGTTTGCACAGGTATCCCAGAACTTAAGGTATAATAAAAAAAAGTGTTTTCTATATATACACACACATATTTTAGATGCTAATGGTGCCATACAAAGATCATTAGACAATTTTTATGATGTTCCGTTCAGAAAATCTTAATAGTTTTATAATTCTTGAACTGTCATTAATGAGCATTCAAATTATATGAACACAAAATATTTTACCAATCCAAATCTTACTTCATACAAAGCAAAGATCTATTCAAAAATTATATTATGACGTACTCTACGTATAAGCCTATAAATCAGATTGGCATATTTTATTCATGTCTGTGTTTATTACTATGGTACTCAAAAATAATTGTATTACAAATACTAATACGACTTAGAATACATACATCATATGTCTGCATATTCAGGTAATATGTCTCTATATTATATCACAATCAGATAAAGTCATATTTTCTTAGAATTAATTCTTTTATGATTTGCTTACTTTGTTTCACCTTTAGGGATTCAATTACAATCAGTTTTTAAATGCATGGCTTTCCTTAGGGACCAACACTAAATTCTTATTAGGCAAAATTATTTTATTTTATTTTATTTTATTTTATTTTATTTTATTTTATTTTATTTTTGAGACGGAGTCTCACTCTGTTGCCCAAGCTGGAGTGCAGTGTCACGATCTTGGCTTACTGCAACCTCTGCCACCCGGGTTCAAGCAATTCTCCTGTCTCAGTAATCCCTCAGCTGGGATTACAGGCACCTGCCATCGCGCCCGACTAATTTTTGTATTTTTAGTAGAGATGGGGTTTCACCATGTTAGCCAGGATGGTCTCAACCTCCTGACCTCGTGATCTGTCCACCTGGGCCTCCCAAACTGCTGGGATTACAGACGTGAGCCACCGTGCCCAACCCCCTATTAGGCAAAATTCTAATGACTAAATACGTCAATAATTATATGATTATGTTTATATTTCAAAGTTTTTTTGTTGACATTATCATTAGATATTGAGAAGGAAATTTTCACCAAAATGCTCTGCAGTCTTCATAGCCAAATCTTATTTATCCACAGTAAAGATAAGGCAAATGTTTAGTTCATGATTAGTTCAAAGATTTCATTTTAATGTGTTTCATACTCTTTATGTTTTTAAAAGGACCAAGTGCAGCATTTTCTGATTTCACTTTACCATAGGGTCTATTCCCTTCAAGCTCTCTGTTGTTAATAAGCAACGAAATGACTGAAAAGTGAACAATGGAAAGGCCAGAAATAAAGGTAATGTATAATCTCGAAACTGTTCTATCATTGATGGGCATTTGGGTTGCTTCCAAGTCTTTGCTATTGTAAACAGTGCTGCAACAAACATAAGTGTGCATGTGTCTTTACAGCAGAATGATTTATAATCCTTTGGGTATATACCCAGTAATGGAATTGCTGGATCAAATGGTATTTCTGGCTCTAGATCCTTGAGGAATTGCTACACTGTTTTCCACAGTGGTTGAACTAATTTACACTCCCACCAGTGTGTAAAAGCATCCCTATTTCTCCATAGCTTTGCCAGCATCTATTGTTTCCTGACTTTAATAATCACCTTTCTGACTGGCATGAGATGGTATCTCATTGTGGTTTTGATTTGCATTTCTCTAATGACCAGTGATGATGAGCTTTTTTTCACATATTTGTGCCCACATAAATGTTTTGTTTTGATAACCATCTGTTTATATCCTTCTCTCACTTTTTGATGGGGTTGTTTTTTTCTTGTAAATTTTTTTAAGTTCCTTGTAGATTCCAGATTAGACCTTTGTCAG